CTAGAATGATTGAGAAGTGCTGGAAGTATTGCTAGGTCTGGCAGTTCAGCCCACCAATTTGCTTCAGCTTCTGCGTCTACAAATTTAGGTTTTCTTTTTTTTTTAAAATATTATTAGGAATTATTAACATACGTCCTACCTTTAGGTTAGTATTTTATTGATTTTTATTGCATTCAAATATAAAGAAATACAGATTTAGGGATTCATTATGAGCTATCTATATTGCTGCTGCTGCTTGTACTAGAACTAAAAATTGACAGTTAGACTCTAAATAGTTTATGGTAAATTGAGCATCTGCTTTGTATGTAGTGCATTTTGGATTTATGGTTTGAGTTGTTAGTAGTTTGTTGATCTACTTGTGTTGTTTTTGTAGGTTAGATTGTCTACGATGGATGAACGTGAAGGCAAAAGGGGTGGTTTGTTTTCAGGTATTTGTGACTTAGGATGTTGTTTCTGAATAGGATATCATTTTCTTGATTCAATTGTATTCATATTATATCATTTATTTATTCATCGAATTCTTCTGCTATTTGCTTTCCATTTTTTAAACATCATCATCATCATTATTAACACAGGCTCTTTCAGATACTTCTACCACATCATTCTTATTCAAGAATGATGTTGTCGAGGTTTGTCACGAGTCCCACATTGGGGAACCTCACAAGTATTATGGGGTTTATAAATGTGAGGAGCTCTTCCACCTAACAAGCTAGTCTTTTGGGATGGGTTCTCCTTTTGGGTTTGTGCTCGTCACATTGGTGCTTTCATTGAGAGCCTGGTGTCACGGAAAGGGTTACCCACGGAGGGTTCTGACCGATCGAAGGCCAAGTGAAGTGCCGTGGAGTGAAGCCGCCGTGGACATTGGCTCTTGACGGGGTGGCATTGTCACAAGTCCCACATTGGGGAGCCTCACAAGTATTATGGGGTTTATATGTGTGAGGGGCTCTCCCATCTAACAGGTTAATTTTTTGGGATGAGTTATCCCTTTAGGCTTGTGCTCGTCACAAGGTTGTAAAAGGCTCATTCGTAGTGAGTTTATTTTCAAGATTTGACCTTGATTTTTGTTTTTCATGAAATGTTATTGTTTTTTATATTGATTGTAGACTCAGATATTTATATTGATTATGGATTTACTTATTATTGTTGTAGAGCCTGGATTTGGTTAAAATTTGGTGATGGAACCAGAAGGGAGCCCAACTGGATATACCTTTTCATAGGGCTTTCCAGCAACTGAAACTTGATTGACTCCATGTTTCTTCATAGCCATTTGAGCATAAAGAAGATCCATATCAGGAGTAGCAGCCAATGGAACATCACATATTCCACCTCCTAAAAGGAGCAGTTCTGGAACTAAAAGCTCCTGCAAAAAGACTACTACAAGGTCAACTATAGAAGTATTCTTTATAAGTTGTAACTAAGTTCAGCAGAATTTAAAGATCTTAGTGTGTGTGTGTGTGTGTGTGTGTGTGTGTGTGTGTGTGTCTTACCTTCTCGTAACATTTTGTTGATGCAAAGCAGCCAAATTTTTACCAATGAAATATAATTACTTATGCAGGTTATATGTGAAGAGTGTAATATTAGTTATGGTCTTATGGAGTAGTTACAAAAACTGAAGTTTGTTCGAATTATAGTTATAACTGGAAGACTACAATTTGTACTCTATAATCACTATGTTAATCATGCTGTAGTGAATTATTATAACTTCTTCTCATTCAACATCTTTTATGAATTATCCTTAATTGTAGCAAAGGTGTATCACAGAGACCTTAAATTAGCCAGTATGCTAATATTGATGTTATCTGTACTTAACTTTGAGGCTTCAATATCTCAAAATTCTGTCAGAAACCCATGAAAAGATGCAAGAACTTGCTAGAGATCGACAAACGGTGGGATGTGGAGACTTGGATGTTGAGGGTAGTGATAGAATACAACTATTTTCGTAGTCATTATATTTTCCCCTTAATTTCTCAAGTATGAATACAAATCTTGTAAAACTCATCCCATTGGCCAGATTTTGGCGTTCAATTTTAGAAATTGGGTGCCATAATTCAATGCCAATTGGGTCTGTTCGTAGTAAATTAAGAACTGCATGAACATAACCAATGCTTCGAGGGTGATTTTCCCAGCTTTCCTGCAATAAATGCGCAAGTAATGTTGTGGAGAAGTTTTTACGTGAATCTCGAGAGTAGTATTCTCAACCAATAAATTTGGAGTTGCTTCAAGATATTATGGGGGAAATGAATTTCCATGACTGTATTTGAAGTTCCTGCAAACATTCCTTCTCTAATTCCATACTTATGAGAAGAGAGTATTGATAGCTTTAACTTAGTTTAATGGCTACTGGAGAAATTTTCATTATGCAAACAAACTCAACTTATCGTTCACAGATTTTGATATACAAACTTAAAGTTGATACATGATTGCATTAATTTGATGTATAATTCAAATGGAAGCACCAGGCGCATAATCCAGAACTCCATGCCATTGATACCGCCACCAATGGTGATGAACTACTGTACTACTGCCCAGAGAAGGAAGGAAATCTCTACTAGGCTCCATTATAATTTATAAAAATTAATGTTTATTGTCCTTTTGTTTTTTGTAATTAAAACAGTAGAAGTTTCCCCATGTGTTTTAAGTTTGATGTAGACCCCCATACGGATGAATATGTAATTGTAAACCTTTAAAAAGCAATTATTTCATATGTAAAACATTCAAGGGATTTGGCCAAGTTGAAATAAATATATCGTTTATGCAATATATAGGATAAACTCTAATTGGAGTCTTTCGATGAAAGAATTACAATAGATCTAAAGAAATTAAAAGTTACCTTCATTGTCTATTATCTTCCTCTAAAATGTGATTGCATTGTCTGTGGGGATGAATCTTGAAATTCTTTTATGGGGCCATAACTTAAGTTTTATTTAAAAATCGAGGCTAAAAGTGATTTCAGCATTTTTCATTGAAAAACAATGTATAAAAGAAATTCTGAAGCATGGGAGCCACAGCCTTTGCTAGCCCCTTATATTTATGAAAATTGTCTAAATTCTTTTAAAACAATATAATAGTCATTTCGCCATTAAAAAGTATTAATTCAATTAGAATGTTGAAAGGTTTCCTATTTACCAGAATTACATTTAATGGAATTTTGTTTCACATAGATCCATGAAGTAACGTAAATTTTGAATTCATTATTATTTTATAAACATGAATTACATACTTATTGGCATGACTACAATTGCATGAAAAATAAGTACTGCAAATTAACATTTGAAGTAAATTTAGTCATAAACATTATTTAATAATCTAAATTAAGAATATGCATGATCTATTTGGTATTTTATATTTCTAGGAAAATTTGACATCTTTACATCAATATATTTAATGTCAAATACTCCCTCCGTCTTTATATATAAAATTTTTTTTAAAATTTTTTTAAATATAAGAAATTGTTGGTATATTTTTTTTTTTAATGAATGAATCATTATATCTTTATTAAATTAAAAAGAAAAAAAGATAAGTAATTTCATTAATTTACTTTAAAAAATATTTATTTTTTATTTACAATAATTAAGGGTAAAATTAAAATGTTACTATACTTTTAATTAAATAATTAATTTTTATTAGTTTGTATTATTCAGTTAAAAATATCTAATACATAGAGACGGAGAAAATAATACATTATCATTATTTTAATCAAAATTGATGATTTCATTTAAATTATTTATCATCCGTCTAATAATGCAACGCACGGGATTTGAATAATGTTTTTCTTTTTTTAAGGTTTGAATTATGACAAAATTGAAGGAGAACTGCTTATTATCAATGTCTTCTTTTTTAAAAGAATAAATATTTTCTATGCACCTTTATAAATACAAATAAGTTGAAAGTTGAGACAAATTCTCATCTTCTTTACTATCTTTCTATATGGCATTATTAATTATAAAACTATTACCAATAATACAAATTTTAAGAATAGATACGTAAAATATATTATCTAATTGTTCAACCATTTTTTTAACGAATCTTTGAAATTGTTAAAAATTCAAATAATATGCATGGCTTATTATAATTGAAAATAATTGAAATCTTTGGAGTTTTAATTTTGTAAACTATAATCAAGAATGCTTATGCATGACATTTTATATTAACTTCTAATGTTCATTTTTACCTGCTCCAACGAACATAAATGTTTGGCATTTTATTTATTATAATTGATATTGTAATGTGGTTTAATTAGTATCGATACAATGGACGGGATTTGATTTAATTAAAACAAGCCTACACGTATTGTAGTGTGGCCAGTTTATATTAATATACAAAAAATTTATTATTAAAAATTTTAAAAAATTTATCATTAATATACAACAATATATCATTAACAAATGTAATAAACTAGTCATAATATAAACTATAAAAAATATTAAACTGTTTACTTAATTTGATTTTACAGTATGAATTATACTTGCAAAAGTCTCTTTATAAATGTAGTAGAAAATGATTATTTTTTTTAAATGATTATTTTATTTCTAAAAATAACTATTTTAATGCACTTGATTGATAAATAAAATTGCAAAAAAGAAATAAAACATTTTACTGTTCATTTTAGTCATTTTCCTAATTAAAGGAGTAATTTCCCAATATACATAATAGCCACTAAGACAAATAAATCATTTTCCTAAAATGCTTTCTATAAGTTTCCAAGCCACACTACTAATTATCAATCATCAATATATCCACCAAGCCCCACTGATTCAATTTACTGTTCATGCAGCCCAAAGTTATTTACTGAACTTCGTGCAATGATAGTTTATTTTTGGACTTTTTGAAAAAGCCTCATTTTTCTATGCATTGTCAGTTTCAAAGATACTTTGATAAAATTCTTATAAAAGAGATGTCTTAATAAAATTGATTTTTTCATAATTAAATTTTTTTGATTCTTTTTTTTTTAATCAGTCTCTCAGCATTTTGGTCTCAAAAACAATCAGTCTCAGCATCTTTAGCTCCTCCCACAAATCGCTCTCTCTTCCTACTTCCACTGTAGGACGCAGTTGCAAAAGGAGGCTTCTCTCCCTCACGGCTTACTTTTTCAAGCCCACTCTTGCTGATTGCCCCTCTCTCTCTCTCCCAAGCTCTGCAGAAATCAATCACAGAAGAAAGTCTCTCTCCTTTGCGGCTTCCTTTTGTTTTCCCCCCTCAATAGTCACTTTACTCTTCTACGTTTTTAAATTCTCAAATTATTGACCAAATCTTGCCGTTTACAGATAGCTCAAGTGCTCTTGATGCTTCCCTATCCTTCTCTTCTCCTAACTGGATATGTTTGGGGCATATTGCTGCAAGTATTTTACGCGGCCTAATCGGAAGCTAGATGGCTTATATAATCAGTGTCCTCTATGTTGAATATAGTTCCAAAAAGGAAAAGGAAAACGTTAGCTTCAAGAACCACCACGCCATCTAGGTAAGTAGATGACTCCATTTTTTTTTTTTTGACCTTCTTCCTAAATTACCCCAGCCTTTAAAAAATCACACTTTTTCTAGGCTTCCCTATTCTTAAACTGTGAGGAGGTTATAAGATCTGGCGACCATGATGACAATGAAGAAGCGACGAAAAGGATGATGAGGATGGCAATGATGGTGCTAATTAGAAGCGACGAAGATGCGACAATGAACATAGCAGGGATCTTATGAAGCATAAGTTCAAGAAAGTAGTATCATCAGAACTGTTATTTGACTTAATTTTTTGACTGTATTCAACATGTTTTGAAGACCTCTGCATGCAAATTTTTAAAGTAATAGAACCATGAACTAACCTGAACAGATATGTGTTTTCGGCTAGAAGACCAAACAGTTTTTTGCATCGCGTTTTGTGTTAAATTTGCTAAATTCAGTATTTGCTAAATGATTTCTCATGGATTTTTTTGTATTAAATTTAGTTTTTCTACTTTTTATTATCGGTTATCGGTTCTGCATTCTTATTTTTATTCGAATTTATGTTTCTTTTGTGGTTTCTAGATTTTCTTCATTTGTGAGCAATTGATCAACGTGACAGAGTGACCAGTGTCTTCAAAGGAGTGGGTTTGGAAGCTTATTACTAGAAGGATTGGATTTGATCTTAACAACGTAGATTTGGTTTTTCTTGATACATATTTTCTTTAATTCATTGGCTGCTACTGCTGCAGGCTTATTTTTCTTTTAGTTTTTGTTTTGACATTTACAACAACTTGCATCATGGTTTTTCTAATCTTTCTACTGACCTTCATTTACTTTTCCTACCCATCTATCTCACATGCCAAAGCTTTTTATAAATGCAATTGTCTCTATTTTTGCAGCCTGCGTTTTTGAGGCCAGTAGTGTGGTAAGTTGTCATGAGGGTGTTCATGTGTTTTCTAGAACTAATGTTGATTCATGAGAGGCCAGTGGTGTGGTAGGTCTTCTCCTTCAAAGATTTCTCCTGTCAGGATTTTTGAATCTATCTTCTTTTTGAATGAAATAAAGAAAAATGGTTAAGAGATGACAGATTTTTTTTGGGGAAGAAGCTTATAGATCTCAAGTGATGTTGAATTAATTATATTTATTTGTACTTTATGATATTGTCTTCTCATGGATGCCGAATACTGCTATCATGAAAAACTTTTTTTGTACTTATTATGAAGTGTAGATATGCATGTCAATGACATTTAACTAGCCAGTTACAGTTTTATCATAGTATCAATCAAATGGAATTGGTTATTTAATACATATGGATATGGATACTTGAGAAATTATCTTTGATTAAATATTAATTTGTCTAAAATTTTATTAAAAAATCTATCTAATATAAAATGCCTCATATTGTGGTGAATAGATGGACTTTTCCATGGCTTATCACCATGTATAGTTTGCTTAGTTTGGATTAATCTGTTTTTTCCCCCCGACATACAATGATAAGCTAAAAGGGGTCAATTTATGGAGCCCATGACCATGAGCAGTTGAGGCAAATATATCAAGTCAAATTCATTTCTATATTTGTGATTAACAATAACTAAGTAAGTGTATCAGTTTTTATACACCCCAAAATGGAATGAAACCCTTGATAGCGTAAATCATGACATGGACATTTGCCTACATGCATACTGAGAATTTAGGGAAAGTATATAGCCTTTTTCTTCACTTGTCAGACCTGTCCACAACAAAAGAAATTTGCCTACTTTGTGAAGAACACATCATCCCATTCGTTGTGTATGAAAAGGTGCATTGGCAGCATAAAAAATGAATGCATGTCTATGTTCTTATGAAGCCTGCATATCATAAAAGCGATCTATTATGTTCAATTTTGAGATCTAATATATTTTTTCTCCTGATATGAGTAACAGTAACACTTCAGCAGAGATCTTTAGCTTTGGTCTTGTCAATTAGGATAACAATTTGTATTTTGCACTTTTTCAGGGACAATCTACAACTTTTAAAACAGCCGTATTGCTATGCCACATAGAAGGCTAATGGGACACGTTATATGATGTCAATCACCTGCAATGAACGTCATTTGATTGACCGAAAATTTCAGTTTCAAAAGGTCCATATTTGGTTTCCATGCAGATTTTTGAGTGGGGTATGTATTTCTGTTTTATTCAAAGTCGTTCCTAAGCAGGTATTTACACCTGGACATAAGGAAATTAATGTGGCTGCTCATCATCAAGTTCTATTTTGGGTTTTTAATCAGCGACTCCTAATGTATGTTTTTTAACATAACCCATTCAAGGGTACACCGGAAAGGAATGAACACTCTGCATTACTTCATGGCAATATGATAATTGACATGGATCCACGTATACAAAAATAGGAGAGAAATACCTTACTTATGATTTCATAGCTATTAGTCAAGTTTTTGTGACTGAGGTACTATTAATCAATGGCACCTTATTTATCTCTGGTAGAAATTGAAGTTGTTGTTCAAGTTTTGGAAAAAAATATATCATATCGCACGGGTGTTCAAATTTTTTTACTTATTTAAATCTAATATGGATTTGGACATAGAATTAAACATCAATAAACATTTTGGCTGGGTTTTAGACAGGCAGTTGGGATTTGACATAGTATGTATGTTTTAAATCATGATATGGAACATTTGTCTGCATGCATACTAAGCATTCAAGGGAAGTGCATAGCCTTTTTCTCTCACTTGTCAGATGTGTCAACAGCAAAAGTAACTTCGCCTACTTTGTGAAATCATCCCATTCATTGAGTATGAAAAGGTGCATTGGCAGCATACAAAATGAATGCATGGTGTGTTCTTATATAGTCAACATGTCTTGCAAATATACTACACAATAAAGTCAACCCCACCTTATTATAAGTTTAAGTAATGACACACCGTTTGTTTCATTATTGGAGCATTAGCCTTACTCTAATCCAATCTTCATATACATTTTTAGGTATGCAAGAACTTTGGCAGGGCCTCAATCTATGTAGACGCCTTCAGCTATAACCCCAAGGTTGCTATACTGCTAAATTCTAATAGACTAGAATGAAAATAAAAGAGAGAGATCTAAAATATGTTAAGGTAGCATACTATCGGAAAATGGGTTTACCTGCTTGCTATCTTTGACCTATTGAATTCGTGTATCATCTAATGTACCCATCTGGTTGTATTTAATGTTCATTAGAGATTCTGATTTTTATTTTGTGTCATGTATGTCAGAATTTAAATATGGTTGTAGAAGAAGCACAATTCCTTTGTGCCATTTGTAACTAAATTCAAATTGAACTAGGTCATGCTAGAAAAATACAGTATCACTTTTCTTTTGCTTCTCTGTGCACTTTGCAGTATCTCATGCACATACTTAGACTATTTACATGTCTTGTGCGCATGACAGATGGCACAAGGACATTAATAAGTAACAAATGGTTACACCCCATTATTAGAAAATGGGTCTGAACTATGGCATCCGTGTTCAGAAAATTAGATTGCAAAAAGGGATAATAATTTTTTTTTTGGTAGAAAAAAAGGGATAATAAGACTATACTATGATAGAATTCTTTTGTAACTTTTGAAGGACCATTACATGATGGTCAAAGTGATTGCCTATGTTCAAAAGTCAAAACATACATTCCCTCCCTCCCTTTAGTTGTAGATATTTGAGGGTTTTTTTTTTTTCGTAATAGATATTTCAGATTTCTATTAGAAGTTAAAATAACATATTAAGTTCACACAAACGTGTTTTAAAAAAAAAAAAAGTTCACACAAGCAAAAAACGATGATTAGAAGCTAATAGCCTAATAGGAAAGGATTCTCTGGGCAAAAGGTTGGTATTGGTCATGTTAAGAGTCGATCTTTTATAATTGATGCAACAAATGGTAGAAGATTTGTTATCATAAGATTATTGTATTATTTTAGTTCATTGTAATTGTCATAATGTATCCATACTAAAATTATATGAATTGACACGAAGTTTGTGAATTAAGATTAAAAAGTGGGCAATACCATACTAAAAATAAAGTATAAGTAGTTGATTACAAATAATTGTCGAAAAGTTCTCTAAATATTAGTAACAATGAGTTTCTTTTATCTCCAAATAACTTATTTTATCTCATCTTGGTTAAATATCAATAAAGCTTTTAGATTGTAATGCGCTTAGAAAGTAAATCATTTTAAAGAAAAGGAACTGCATATATGAGGCAAATGACAAGTCCAACCCAACGAGAAAGGCTTTATATATGCAATACTGCAGCAACAATAATAATGTTAGGGCGACAAAGGCTCAACAAAGCTAAAAGATACTTCGTTCAATAAATGGGATGACGTGTTTTTTACAAATTAGGCAAATTACTTTTGATATTGACAAGCCTATGCATGGGAGCGATGAATCCTTTGTAATAATTATATGTTATTTTTTACATAAATATGTCACACGTAATGGATTTTTTTTTAAATTTCCATTCAAGTTATATTGTATAATAGCTTGTTTGCTTATTATTTTTGGTTCCTTGATCGCCTACATCATTGCAAGCTTATTGGATTACTTATTTCTTTGGTAGTTGTGATTATTGTAATTTGTTATGACATTTAAAATTAGACAAATGTAAAATATTTTTTATCATTATTAAATCTACTTAACCAGTTAACCTATACATTCATGGGAGGCTTGCTTGAATAGTATCCCTATTTGAAATATTGGGGGTTCGATTTCAAGCACAATAAACTTGAATAAATTGTATCATGGATTGAGTTAAAAGCAATGGGTTGCTCTTTGTCTAGAGTCAAGAGCATTGATGGGTTAAAGTTACTTCTATTTGACCATAAAAAACCCGGAAAAAATATACTAATTAATGTGGTGTATCCAGAAATATTTCAGAATGTATAAGAAAAGTGGGATGGAAATTACTGATTAGGAATTATATTATCCTATAATTTTATTAGTTACTGTCATGTTTATTCCTTAGTCAATAAATTTCAGACATTATTGATAACATTTTTGTATATGTTAATCGCAGTATAATTACATCAAATGGAATTCATGAAGTTCATTTTTTTATTGTATAAACACTCTAAAAAAAATATATTTAATACTTTAAAGGTATTACATGTGAGGAAATGCTACTATGCAATATAGGATAGTAAATGCTAGTTGTTTTTAAACTTGATCACAGCAGTTGATCAAATTGATGACCTTGTCGTATGTCCAATTTGGTTTTGTGTTTTGAAGTGACACTAATTAACTCAAATGACTTGAGATTAACCTGCCAACCCCATGGGTCAAGTGGGTTGGAAAGATTATATTTTTTAAAATTTCTAAACTCAAAAAGATATCATTTTGGAATTTTAAAAATAAAATAAAAATAAAAATTAGATTCAAACTAGAGATTCAGAGACCTTATGGCAAGCAAATCTTCTCCCTGGCCTTCTCACTCTCGCTCTTGCCCTCAGACGAGCCCTCTCGCACTCGCATTCAGTCAAGTTCCGGTGTCGACGGCGACTCTGCTTCACTCTGTAGAAGAAAATGGAAGAAGACGATGAAGAAAGAAGAAGATGAACAAGAAAGAAAGACAACAGAACACCACAAAAGTGAAGGCCAGTGATGCGGTAAAAGTGAATGTTATACATGAAACCCATTGGATATTTCCATCTTTCCTCATATAATTAATTTGCACAGGACAGAAGGGGCCATAAGCATGGGAAGAGTGATAGCTATGAACATGAAGATGTCAGATGAGGAGATGGCATGCACCGAGTATAGATATATCCCATATTGTATTACTTTTTTATTTGAATTACTTAATTAAATGATTTTAAAATAAACCACTTTTATTTTTATTTTTTTTATTTCAAAATAGATTTTTATTTCTGTTATTTTAGCTCATTAAAACTTATTTTATTATTTAATTAATCTTTTTTTGGGACAAATCATTTAATAACCTTATTTTAAAAGCTATGAAAATGTTGTTGTTTTATTATTGTTACAACTAATATGTAACCTATGCGATGTACAGGATGTGAAAAAATTAAAAATAATTTAAATAAATAATAATAATTAAAAATCTAAAATGTTATTAAGTGAAAATAATTTTTTTTTACTAATGTCTAAATAGTTTTTAATATATATACTATACAAAATGCTAAGGTTGTTGTAGGTTCTTTATTGTTACTTTACTCCCACTAATTGTTTTTAGTATGACCTTTTTGAGAGGGAGGAGAAGGTGGAACCCTTAATATTTAAAACTCATAAATTAATTAAAACTTATTAATAATATAAATAATTTTTTTAGAGAAAGTGTTGTAACTTTATTGATGTTTGAAATGAAAATGTACACCTCATGTTCTAATGAAACAGCTTGCAATTTAAAAAAAAAAGGAGTAAATTGGATTTTTCATGACCATTGCATAATATGGAAATGATTGGCCAAAGTAAGGAAGAACATCATTATAAATATATTATAAAAAAAATAATTTACACATGTTAGCGACAAACCATAAATAAAGAAAAGGTTTGAATCTTAAACTTTAATTCTAAATTCCTAGAAACAAAGAAATATTAGTAGAAATACAAAAACATGGAAACATAGATACACATTACTAATCCACTAACTCAATCTAAATTGCCTTTACCATTGGTGGAAATATCAATTGCGGCAAATGCGTGTTCATTTTCCTCAAATGGGATGGCGTATCCATGCTTGTCACTTGATAAAAGCTAAAAAAATTTTCACCTTCAAATTCGATACGCAAAACTCCCAAGTATTACACATTTTAAAGCATATGAAAAATTTAACTTAAAAAAAAGGAGGATATCATGAAGCAAGATAATATCTGAACATAATTAAAAGATAAGAGATTAGTAAGTAGGAATGGCGTTGTTTGTTCATAATCAAAGTCATGTGTTATTAATTCATGAGAACCTACAACTAATAGGCCGCTAACATACATGGCTTGGCATATTGTAATTAAGAAATGGATCATCAAAAGAGTAATTTAGTTGAGATATAGTGAATCAATTATTCAATAGTTAAAAGAAAGGTTGATGAGAACATTATAGAGAATGTTCATATTAATTACAAGGTCTGATGAAATAGCCTCTCTCAAAAAGGCTACATTGAATAATTGTTTCCTTACCTAGGTTAAAAAAAAAACAATGGTTTCTTTACTACAAACTTTATATGTGTGTGTGTGTGGACTCTAAAGGTGTATTGACATTTCAATTGATATTAAAAAATATTACATTATCATATTCAATGTTGCTTAATACTTTTCAATAAAAATTAAAAATCATACATTACATAAGGGTACACATCATTTAACTCAAGTAGCATTACATTTCATCAAGTTAGAGATTTCACGATAAAAAAAAACAATCAAATTACATATATCCAAATGCATCAATGAGTTGGCATTGAATTTGAACCTAAAGAAAAGGAAATGACAAACATTGACATGCGATTGTGAAAAAGTAATTATAGATGGTTGATGAATTTAAAGGAATGAATTTGAAGGAATGGATACAATAGGCAATATTTAAAAATGAACTTAAAAAGGGACAATAAAGTAGAATACATATTTCTAATACAAAACAATCCATTTATTTATTTCTATTTATGGCAAAATATGTAAATTTTTTCATTTGTTTTTATCTCAACGACCAAAACACGAAGCAAACAATTATTGAATATCATGTAACTTAACAAAATAAGCACATGAATACAGTTGGTAAGAATAATTTAATTCAAGTCCATATATTCAAACTCATAATTGAATGAAAACAAAACCAAAATCATAGAATAATAGACTCATGCTCATGTGATGGAGAGCCTGGGCACTTCTTCTCATCTTTATCTCCAGCTTTATTGTATTAACAATAACTATAATTAGAAAATTTTTGTATAGATTTCAGGGGAAATGGCAGAAATTCATAATAAAGTTTGAGAAGGGATAACTTTAGTGTCTTTAGTTTAATTTTTGTGGTAGTACAAGATCTCATAATAAACTTTAAAAATGAGAGAGAAATTTTGAGAAATGAGAGAGAATTTTGAGAATTCAACTAAAAAATTTTACCTTTGAATATGTAGAAGATAGCTGGTCTTCATTCATGGTCCTAAAAAGGAAGGAGACTAGAACACACTACCTATGTTAGACAAGTTAATGTTAATTAAAAAATTAAAATTTAACTTTAAATTTAAAACTAATGTGGCTTGACAAGTTGTGATAATGTAAATATTTTTAAGGGTAAGTTAGTTTTATATTTATTTTAAATTATGAGTAATTAAAATCAAAATTAAAATTATACTAAGATTTTGAAATTTTAAATTTTAAATTGTGAGTAATTTCGTGAAATTTTAAAATTAAAATTAAAATTTCATCAAAAAATTAAAAATCAAAATTTTTAAAATTAAAATTTAAAATTATGGATAAGAAGCAGGTCAGTTAGATAGTGGAGATAATTTTTGGAGACGAGGAGGATATTCATAATTTCATTATTACTATATATTAGAAATTTAAAATTATAAATAAATTAATTAATGAAAAGTTGAGATAATATAGAGATATTTGGGAGGTGAGGTAGTTTTATTTATATTTAAGAATTAAAAATTAAATAAAACAAAATTATATCGGGAAGACATGTCCTTGTGGTTCTACTAATATTTTTAAAATTTAAATTTAGTCATAATTTCAAGAAAATTTAAAATTAAAATGTCAAATTTTGCATAATTTTTAAAACAGAAATTTTGAAATTAAAATTTTAAATTATAAGTAAGAAGTTTTAAGGCATGGACAATGGAGGAATTTTGGAGATGAGAAGGTATAGAAAACTTTATTATTATTTTAAGATTAAAAATTATTATATTATAAATAAATAAGCTAATGAAAAATTGAGATAATATAGAGATATTCGGGGGAGGTATTTTATTTATATTTAAAATTTAAAAAATTAAATAAATCAAAATTGTATTAAGAACTCATATCATTTTCAGGATGTACTTGCGATTTTACTTTTATATATGCGTAGATTATTATTGTATGTTGTATAAGATATTAAGATTTGGATATGAATAAATGTATTAAGAATTAATGTATTTTTATTTAAATTATATTATTTTATCATTATCAATTTGACTCCAATTTGACTCTCAATTGAATCCCTAACCTTGACCATTTTAACAATTGGTTCAAGTTTCAATACCTTAATAATAATAGATAATAATTTGCTATCTCATACATAATAGGAATATGAACAACAATTTATTTTATGGGTTAAATAGAAATTTAACCTCTAAACTATAAATATAGGAATATCTAAAATTTTAAACTTATTTTTTATGTAATGTTTTTCTCAACTTTTAAAAATAGTATAGTATAATCACTATCATTAATAAAAATTTACTTTGACTATTAGTTAATAAAAAAATTGATAGAAAAATATCTTGAAAATTGCATAATCTTATTGACCTTTTTTGTAATTTTTTGTCCTTTTTTAATTTTTGGTTTATAATCCTTATTTACATTTTTCTTAATCATTTTTTAGTCAATTGATAATTAAAATTAACTTTTATTAATAATAAAATAGAGATTATATTGTACCATTTTTAAAGTTGAAGGAAATATTGTCCAAAAAACGAATTTAAAGACACAAACATTCTGGATCTATAATTTAGAAGTCAATAACTCTGTAACTTTTATTTTATTTTCACACAAATATTTTACATTTTGTTGCCACCTATAACAACTATGAACAATGACTTGTTATAGACTGTGCTATTATCACAAAAGTCAAAATTTAAACAACAACCCGTTCTACTATTACAAGCTGTTATTTCAAAATAAAATTTTATTTTTATAAATTAAAATTTTAAATTTATGTGTTATCTGTACATAAACTAAACTTCAAACAATTACGTGTTTTGTTTTAGGATTTTCCATTCATGTGCATATTAAGAACATAAATAACACATCTGTGCACATTAAAAAGATTATATATTAAAAAAATCAATAAACTTCATTAGTTACATATCCTTATTTCCTTTTGCCTACCATCATTTTAATCTGTGGCCAAGCACTTCAAAATCCAGCAAGGAACTATAAAGGCAAAAGTCAGCAGGTTAAAACTCAATTTAACATGAGTTAGGCAATGTTTTGACAAAAGTTAACATCGAAAACATGTTAAACGTTGATTATGTTGAATGTTTATCAAACTGTGTTCAAATGCTGGACTGAAATGCATTCCACATATCTTATTATTATTATTATTATTATTATCCTAACACGCTCAAACTCTGCAAACTAGCATTGAAAAGTCAGAGAGACTACCTATCTTTTGCTTCTACTGAGCGAATTCTGCTACACATGAAGGACGGTCACGGTCCCTCTCCTGCTAATTTGGATATCTTGAAATAATTTCAAATGAACAGAAGAGAGAGGCAAACACAAAAAAAATGGATTATGTAAAACCTATATGTAATTTTATTTGTTTATCTCCACTTCACTTAAGGCTACTTTCCAGTAATTCAATAACCAAGAAAATTACTAGCATGTCTGTCACCAACTACTAATTCACGCGTTCTCATGAAAATAAACGGATCTAGACAAGGCTGCTGGGTTGGCCCTTAACACCGAAGAGGTTTCAACTCTGTGGTGTCTATGATTCTTCCCATCTTTCCTCGAAAGAAACGCCTCGAACATGCTTCCACCACTCAGTGATTCGTTCTTTATTCCTAAAGTTGCCCATATTGAACTCTTGGCAGCCTCACTCGGCCCATCAATTCTCAATGTTTTAGGCACCAAAACAGAGCCATTTCTCTGTTTCGGTGGTTCTTTCTGCTGATACCCTGGTCCAAGCATGTCCCCGTCCCTTGCGTGCTTTCCCAATATCAGAGAATTCGGACCACATCCCGATGACTTTAAGATTGCAGAAGATGAGTTTGCGGAAAACCAAGGAAGATTTACATTCCAAAAAGCTGCAGGATGATTGGATGACAGGGGAGGAAAACCTGGAGGGTGCGGCCAGGGAACATCAGGAAGACATGGGTTTTGAAGGGTGTTTTTCTTGATTTCTTCAATGGAAGATGTATTTCTCTGATTCTCGGAGATATGATTGTGGAACCGATTTCGGGTACTTTTAGAAACGCTTTTGTTACCTGCAAGATTCAGGACAGAACACGTGTGTGCACCTGATCCAAAGCTGAGAACTTTTCCATGAGTTCCATTAGGAGCAACAATTCGGGCTACTCGAAGAGCCTCATTAATGGCGACGTAGCGATAATGAGAGGTATTCTTGGTTTTTCGTCGTCCTGCACCTACTGGAACATTCCTCATGGTGCCACCTTCTGTCCAGTATCTTTGACAGGATTTGCAGAGATGGCGAGGCTGATTGATGTTGTAGTTGTTGTAGTAACAGAACTTCGTGTCCATACTATTGCAGCGAGGACATGGAAGCACTTGATCTGGCTTCTTCAGTGTTTTTTCCTCCGAGTTGATTCCATCATCATTCTCTGAAGTTTTTGCAGTTTCTTCGTCCATCGAAAGTGTTTTCGGGTTTATGCTTGTGTCTGGAAGGTGTTCAGTGCCCTCCGTGACTTTTCCAGATTGTGATTCCTGGAAATTCCAGTGAGTTTTGTGTTTCAGTCGATAATAAAAATGATTAAAAGGTAACATGAATGAAGTAAAAGGGGAAATAATCAGTTTTCTCAGCCAGATTATTTGCTTCAAGATTTTCGATTGAGGTGTTTTATGTTTAAGTATTTTAATTCTCACTTTCAGAAGTTCTAATGCCAAAATCTGCAATCTCCATAACTCTGTTTTTCAGGTCCAGATACTGAAAATGACAAACATCACCAGAAAAATAAATGAGCCCTGAATTTCACAATTGGAAAGGGTAGACATGCTGATAATATGGGATCGGAAAGACAAGATATGGCGTTCGGTTTCAGAAAACGACTTGAACAACTTGGTAAATACTGAAGATTCAAGCAAGCTCCATAGTCAGAACAGTTTTTCAAAACCAGGAAAAAAATTTGCGCTAGGAGCTTACCATATCCAATCCTATAAAAAGAAAAGTGGAAAGGTAAAGCCGACCCACGATTTCTTTAAGTAGTTAAACAGTCATCCTCCAATTTCTATATTTCACAAAAACGCTACTGATCTCTTGATCATGTTCTGATTCACTCTACCACCAACTAACTTGTACCTTGTCTGCTTCATCCCCTTCCTCTTCTGGTTTTTGCACTCCTCCTCCTTTCTCGACATCAATGGCCACCTGTGAAGCTAAAGAATCGTCGCCTTCACCCTGCAATGGAATCTTCTTCCCAAAGAGCTTAATTGCAGGGTCTTTGCTTTCCTGCATTTTCTGGGCAAGCAGATGGCTCTGAGCTTGTTATGAACAGGCAGGATATTTCTTTTTTCCTGATTGTACCTTAAAGCTGGGTTTGGGGTCTGAGTTGTGTGAAGTTTCAAGCTTTTGATCTCGAGTAGCAGTGGAGAAACCAGGAATGAGATTTTGATCCGTTTTAAGCAGAGTTGGATGCCACGTCAGCAGGATGGGGTTCATTACTGGCCACAAGTTTTGTTGGCCTTTGACAGATTTTCTTCCAGATATAAAATGAGTTAATGACACTTGAAAAGCGTTGAATATACGAATAACATTAAGTAGTATATACTACTAATATTTTTAATAATTGAATATGTGAATAATATTAAGTAGTTTTAAAATAACTCGTATTGTTTAAGGGACGAGATTGAAATAAAAAAAAAAAGCTAATTTATTAGCAGGTTGATTTTAGTAAGAAGAATTATGATCACTTAAACATCATATCTATCGGGAAAAAAAGGTATACAATAAGATTTTTTTTATTTGTATGTATAATTATTTCTGTTTGTCCCCTTGAAATGAGGTAATTGAGATATCTTAAAATTCTCAGTGCGTAAATTGCGTGTGGTTCTTGGTCGAAAAACAGGTGGAGTCCCCATCCAGAGGGCATCGAGGTGTTGGCGACTGAATGTAACGTGGCGGAAGATGATTGGCAGGAATAAAAGTAATGGGAATGAAAACGAAAGCGACGATTGGAAACCTACGACTTTTCTTAACCAACACACGAGGGTGGGGCAAGCAATTTTGATTCCTAGATTGCAAATTGAAACATGAAGCGAAAGTGCAATTAACATCAAGTGCAAGCGAGAAGACAATAAACACAACAAATAGTTAAAGGTGTGTGAATTTTGATGCCCTTTATATCATACTTTGTTTGTTTAAAAATATAAATTATTTTTAATTAAATTTCACAGAAAAAAGTTACTTGTATTTAAATTAATATTATCTTTTTATATTTATCCTTATTTAATAAAATATTTTATTCTAAAATAAATATAAAATAATTTATTTATTATATGTACTTTAAAAAAGGACAATGATTACATCTTAAAATATTAATAATATCTTATATTTTTTTAATATTTAAATCTCTTATAAAATATTTTATGTTTTTTAATGGAGGGAGAATATCATATTATTTGATCTTGATAAATGGTAATTAATATAAAATTTGAAATTAAAGAATGTCCCCGGCCCTCTCATTCACATAAAACACTCTTCAATTTGGTTTGACTTGGCTTGGCGGTGATATGTAAAGTGAAAAAGCTTATTTTAGGTCATTATGAATGCTATCATTTTTATTTGACAAGGATTTAGTTATACAATACTCCCTTTATTTTAAATTATAAGATACTTGTAAAAAAAATTTAGCGTCTCAAAATATAAAACATTTTAATAAAAATAAAATTTTATTAATTATACTTTTTAATATTACCCTTCTCATATATTATATCTCTTCATTATTATTTTATTAATGAAATATTAAATGAAAAGTATTTTTAAAATTTTATTTTTTGTCTTGAAAAAGTAAGGTTGTAAAGTATATTTAATGAATTTTCTTGATATATGAATTTTATTTAAAAATATCTTATAATTTGGAATGGAGGAAGTACTCCATACATCTCAAATTATAATACAATTTTAAAAAATTTTATCTATTTTAAAATACAAGAAACTTTGAATGTATTAAAATTTTATTAAGTATATCACTTTTAATAGCATCCTTTTTTGCTCTATAATTAATTTTGATCTTTTTTTAATATATTAAATGATGAATATTTTTAAAAATTTATATTTTTATTTTTAAAAAATAAAGTTATTAAGTGTGTTTAATATAATTTATTGATATATAAAATTTTATTTAAAAATATTTTATAATTTGGTATGGAGAGAGATTTATATTCCTTCAAAATAAGGGAAGCTTCGTCTAAATTCTCGCCGTTTGATACATCATCGCATTCAATGATCCTTCCCGGGAAAATGACCGTTGATTCAGAGGAAACAGAAACTTAAATGAAGAAAATGACGTCAGCATGTGTTTCTCACCTTGATTTAAACAATCCGATGCTTAAAAAAAATCTATGACATCAATTAATTATCCTTTTTTTAAAAAAAATACTACATTGCAATTGAATTGTCATCGATTTAAAATTTGTTTTTACAACAGAGATATTCAAATTTAATATAATCAAAAGCAAAATATATGGCTCAATTATGCTTTCAAATTAATAACAATCACTTTAAGCTATTTTGAGCTGGACACCGAGCCAATGCTTTGTTCATCTTTTACCTAGTTAGATATTAGAGTTAAGAATTATTTTTATCTCTTAATATTACCTGAATGATCAGAGTGCTCTAAATTCAATCATTAATTAATTATATTCTCCAACGTTAAAAATTTCATTTCTCATCACATTAATGTTAAAAATGTCTAAAGTCTATTTGTCACTACTTTTCAACATTTTTTTAATCATAATTAAATCATTTAATGTTTTTAGGATTAAAGTTCAATTTTACCTCCTGTATTTATTTTTTAGGAGTGTTGGGCATCTTCTACTCTTAAGTAAGACAATTTTATCATTAAACTATTTTTTGAATGAGCAAAAATCCTTTTTCGTTAATCAACCGTTAATTTTTTTATTTTTTGTTGACGTGTCATATGCATGGAACACACATATAGTGACATGTAAGACTTTGACCATATCTTTTGATATTAATTTATCCTTGAATTTTTTTTAGGAGCGCTAAATATCCTGAAATCCTGTTAAAATAAAATTTAATAAATATTATTAAAATATTAAGTATTTTAATATTCAATAATTTAAATATTTCTATTTAAAATATTATACTACCCAATTTAATATTTTAATATTTTGTAATTTTGTATTAAAAATGAAGTGAATGAACTTCCAAGTTAATGAAAAAAAATTTTCTCCTCAGCTCTCCATTTTTCTCTTGTTAAGTAACTTTTTTTTTTGTAACATATTAATAGAATTAGAAATATTTTTTAAATAAATATTTTTGTTGTCATAGTGGTTTAGATCTGGCTACTGTATCGGAGAGAAGATCAAACATCAATATCTAAAAAAATAAAAATTCATATATAAATTTATAAAATGCTAGCAAAAATAATATTTAAATATAAAAAATATTAAATTGGGTGCTGTAATGTTTTAAATAATAATATTTAAATTATTAAATATTAAAATATTTAGTATTTTAATAATATTTATTTAATTTTATTTTAACAAGACTTCAAGGTACCCAATATTATGAGAAAAAGTAGGACTGTGCAAAAATCTTTCAATCTTGTCTGATTCAGTCCAACTCGAGATGGTTTCAATCTTGTTCGGTTCGTATAGACATTAGTCTTTCAAGATCAAAAAGATTGAAAAGACCAGACTATTTCTTCAGGTTGGACTAGACAAGAGACAAGGCATTCGGACCACTTGGTCTAGTCTAGTCCTATTAATTTTTTTATTATAATTATAATTAATTTATTTTTGACAAATGTTTGAAATGAAATTGATGCTAAGGAGATGATTGTGTGAAGATTTGTTGAATTTGTTTATAAATTATTATTGTAATGCAGTGTTGTTAAATTTTATTGTGTGCTGTTTTTGATAAAATTATAAATTTAAATCATTTGAACTATAATAGAGATATTTTTTTATTGTTGGAAATTATTATGGATTTATTATTATTATTATTATTATTATAAGTGTTTTTACTATCTTAATTGAGTTTATTATGTTGAAATGGATTATTGCCTCTCATGGAATAAAAAGGGAGAAAAAATTAAATGAATGCTGAACTGACAGGAAAAGTCTCCCAGTTTTATAGACCAAGTTCAGTATTGTTAATTTTCAGGTTATCACTAGATAAGATTAGACTACGGGTTGCCTAACCCAGTCTTTTTCTTGAAAACGACTGGATTTCGGGTTAGGGTGAAATCCAGTGCCATCTTGTCTTTTGTGCAACCTGACGAAAAAAATTTCAGGGTACTTAGCGTTCCTAAAAATAGAGTTCAAAGGCAAATTATCACTAAAGGACATGCCACGTTTTACATGTTACTATACGTGGCCCTACATACATGCCACGTCAGTAGAAAATTAATGATTGATTAACGAAAGACAGTTTTTGCTTTTTCAAAAAATAGTTCAGGGATAAAATTACCCTACTTAAGAGTATAGGATGCCCAGTGCTCCTAAAAAATAAATATAGGGGCAAAATTAAACATTAATTCATGGTTTTAAATATTATTTATATTTTGCATTTTAAATTTGGTAAAACATAATTTTAAACTCTTGCACTTTGCTTTAGTTTTTTTTATATGTCCCTGCACTTTTTTATTATTTTAAGTCTCTACACTTTTATTTTTTAACATTTTAGGTCACTCTACAAGCAATATTATAAGGACCTAAAATGCTGAAGAACAAAAGTATAGAATTACCTAGAATATCAAAAAAAATGTAGAAACTTTTAGCAAAACTTGAGTAAAGCGTAAGAATTTAAAGTTATATCTTTCTTTAAATTTTAACAATTTAATATAATTTTAAGGATGGGTTCCAGAAATTTTTTTGTTACATGTTTCAATTCAACGTCATTCTACCAAAAACTAAAATTAGCGATGATTAAGTTACAAATATTGAAATTGTGAGATAAAAATAAACTATAACATGTTTCCAAAAAAAAAAAAAGGAACTATAAGATATGCGGTCAAGGACTCAAACTCTACGAATGAAACAAATAACGTTGAAAAACTGCTCTTAAATCTTAATAGATCTCACAATTATCGAACATGATAAAATAACATGCTGGATATATAACATATGATGGTAAAAAAATTAATGTCTAAAATTAGGATTAACAATAAAAAATAACATATAAATCTGAAATCAATTAAATTCTTAATTAAAGTTTAGAACACCAATCTATATGTCAACATTTGTGAAAAAACACTATTTTTGATCCCTACATTTTACTTAAATTTTAATGTGGGTCCTTATTTTTTTTTTATATTTTAAGCTTCTACAATTTTTTCCATCTACAACATTAGTCTCTATATTTTTAGAGGGATATCGACATGATGCAAATGGTATTAATAATGTTGATATGTCAATTATCACCATTAATTT